GAGGATTACAGCTCAAGACCAGTCTAGGCTACATTGCACAACCCTGTTTCCTCTTACATTGTTTCTTAGTTTGGATTTATCTGATGCTTCCTCACAGTTATATTCAGGTCATGCATTCATCACTGGAATAAAGCATAGATGATAGAATATAACAATAACAGTGTACTTCTTAGGATATCATCTCTGGATGCATGCAATGTCCATTTACATTACATTCCTGGTGCTAATTCTGATTATCTGACCAATATGTTATTTGACATTTTAAAATTATGTATTTCTAGTTTCCCCCTCCTCCCTGCCCCCACTACCAATAAGAAATCTGTGTAGTGATGCTTTTAAACCATAAAAAATCCTGCTTCTTCATCAATCCCACCTCACACCACTCTTACCCCTGATTGGGCACCAATTGATGATTTTTGTTCTATACAGACTTTATATGATGATTGTGGAATGACAGTTCTCCAGCTGAGCATTCTCCCACACTTACAAATTGTCACTCAATTATTTTTCTGTGTAGCATAAGCATCTCCCTATTTCATCTTTTTATTTATTCATCAGTAGAGACTTGTGGATGCATTTTCATCAATGATTTAGAATTCGTTAGTACCTTCATTTTTCTTGTGTAAATGTCCCAGATTTAGTCAGCAAGACCCGTTAAAGGCACCTCCAGGGGTTATGTCATATGTTCCTATTCTTTTTGTGAGCATTTTGTTTTGCTTTCTGGCCTAACAAAAAATATTACAGACTCATTTTAACTTTACTCTTCTCAAACCTTCAAGTCAGCTATTTTCCCAGGAGCCCTGGTTACTTTTTACAGGACAATTATATTAGAAACTAAAACCTTAGTCACACACACACACACACAAAATACACTTAATTGTTATTCTTCTGTTGCTGTGATAAACCACCATGACAAAGACAACCTACAGAAGAAGAGTTTGTTTGGACTCATGATTCCAGTGGCTTAGAGTCTATAACAGCATAACTAAGGTATGACAGCAGGAGCATCAGGCTGATAACTCACATCTTGAACTGAAACAGGAAGCAGAAAGACTGAACTATGAATGGCACATGGCTTTCAAAAGCCACAGTGACATACTTCTTCCAGCCATACCTCCTAAACTTACCCACATAGTGCTACCAACTGGGGACCAAGTATTCAAGCATGTGAGCCTATTGGAAGCCACATATACATGTGTATATAATCTACATATGTGCACATCTATATGCAAATATGGAAGCATGTATAATTGCCTGTTAGTATCCATGTGGGTTTACATGACCTCCTGAAGATCCCAGAATCCGTCAAGGCTCAAATCCCTGCATGGAATGGTGTAGTATTTACATATAATCTATATCTATCTTCCTGTATACTTTAAATTAGTTCTAGATTATTTATACTGCCTTGTAAAGTATAAATTCTGTAAATAGTTATTCTATTTTTAGGGAATAACATGAAAAAAAGACTGCACATGTTCAATACAGATATAATTTAGAAAATTATTTTTAGCCTCGGACGTCTTGGCACATGCAGGGAGGCTATGGCTGAGGTTAAAGGATCACGAATTTGAGGACAGCCTAGTCTATATAGGATATTTCGGGCTAGCTTGGGCTACATGGTAATGTCCTGTCTCAAATCTTTAAATCTGTAGTTTGTTGGGACTGGAGAGACAGCTCAGTGATTAAGAAGACTATCTGTTTTTACTGAGGACCTAGAATAATTTTCCAGCACCCACATGGCAGCTCACACCTGTCTGTAACTCCAGTTTCAGGGGCTTTGACATTCTCTTCTAGTCTCTGTGGGTACTGCATACACTTGGTGCACATATATACATATAGGCAAAACACCCATAAAATAAAAATAAATAAATCTTTTTTAAACACCTTAAAATCTATAGTTGATTGAATCCTTGTTTGCAGAACCCACAGATAAAGAGGGCTAATTGCACATATTTTAGAAGTCATATAGTGTTGACTGAGAGGCTTTTCCTGAGGAGCGCCCCCCCCACCTACCCACCCCAGAAAGGGAAATCACAATACACAAAAGATTACTGAACCAAAGTTCAGCTTGCTGAACCAATGTAACTTATAAGAGTATGGGTAAACAGTTACTTGAAAAAGCAGGGATAGCTTAAAAAAGCAACTTTATCGCTCAAAATCCCACCCCAACAAGGGTCATGGCTTTGGCAGTTTGCAAGCCTTCAGTTCTGAGCACAGTTTGCAGGCAGTTCAATGCTCTCTCCCATCACACCTTGGCTGGTCAAAGTCTCCTCCCCCAGTAGTTGCTTACTCACTCCTTTATACAACTGGGGAAGGGCCTTAAAGCATCTTCCCAGTTCCGTTCTCCCAGAGGTGTGATGTTTTGTTCTCACAAGCCTCCTGCCCTCTCCTGGAGGGAATGTTTTTGTGAGGGAAAACTGCCAGACAACATGCCTCCGCAGCAAGATCACCCAGTTCTAACTCATCTCCACAAGTTAGTTCTTGCCTTCTCTCATTCCATATGTACGCTCTTTTCTCCACAGTAAGAATCTTATGTCTCAACAACATCAATGCATTTGTTCAATCCTGTCGTGTGTCTAAAATTGATTTGCTCAGGGGCTGAGGATGTAGTTGCCTGGAGGATCACTTAAATGGTCTCCCCTCGACTGTAATTTTGATGGTCATTATTCCTTTAAGATGCAGTGGGTTTAATTTGTTTCAGTTTGCCTTTAGTCCCATCTGTGCTATTGTTGTTGTTGACTTAATTTTTTTTAAAAGATTTATTTATCTATTATGTATACAGTATTCTGCCTGCATGTGTCCCTGCAGGCCAGAAGAGGGCACCAGATCTCATTACAAGTGGTTGTGAGCCACCATGTGGTTGCTGGGAATTGAACTCAGGACCTCTGGAAGAGCAGTCGGTGCTCTTAACCACTGAGCTATCTTTCCAGCCCTTGTTGTTGACTTAATTTTAACCTCTTGGATTAATGTGTATTTTTCAAATTTGAAATTAGAATTTATTGATTTAATTTTAATGAAAAATTCCTTAAAAGGGAAAATATGCAAAGAACTATACTCTGAGAATTATCCTTTTCTCTGGCAACCCTTTTACCTTTTTTTTTCTAGGTTGTCCTTACTATAGTTATTGTTTTTGTAAATCCAAGAAAATGTAACATGATTTATTATTTACCTTTCCCTTGAAAATGCTATATAATATATATAGTCTTTTATAATTAGGGTTTTTCAGTTGACTATATTTCCTGGAAATCATTCTCAATCAGCTCATAGCATCCTCCTTGCTGTTTTTTTAGCAGCTACATGGTACATGGTACTTGACTGTAAAGAATATCTGTAGCTGCTTTATTGTATATATAATTTTTGGGAGACCCTATAGTTTCCTCTTTGAGATAAAAGTTCTTCTGTGATTTGTTGCTCATACTATCCAATGATAGTGCAGTTAGGCCAAAGCTTTGTTCTGGCCCTTATCCATTTTTCACAAGAGTCACTTACATCACAACCAATTCTTGTGCTACTTCTCTAGTACATCTTTTTGTCCCCCATTATGATTTTTGTTTTTGTTTGTGTATTGTTTGATGCTTTGAGATAGCCTTGGCTGAGCTTAGAAGTTGCTCTATAGCCAAGGCTGACCTTGAACTCCTGATCCTCCTGCTTCTCCATCTGAGGTGCTGGGATTACAGATGTGTACCACCATGCCCAGTTTATTTCTCACTTTCTAGTTCTAATTTAGGCCCTTCCTACCTACCTCAAAATAATTATGAATATCTTGATCAGATCCCGTGTAAGATACTCACAACATGATTTCTAATTTCTATTTTCACTAAACCCTTCATTAGAGCTGTATAAAAATGACTAAATTTGGTCCTTATTTTTCTTATCCTTTCCTCCCCATCTCCAAGTAGAAGTATGTTTTAAAATTGTATGCCAGTTGAGAAACAGATAACAGGAGAGAGAAGCAAAAAAAATAAAATAAAATAAAATAAACATCAACAGAATAGAGTATCGGAATTCATTTTACTGAAAGCTAGCCGAATAAGTCAAATAATTGCTTTTAATTACATATATTTCCTCCTGTTTAAATTAATATTTGTAATCTCAAGATTATCTTCAAAAGCAAAAGCATTCTTGAGATCCTTTTTCCTGCTTGGGAAGAAAAAAAAGTCTTTTGGACAATAACATAGTTGTGGAGCACATGACCCTGGAAGAATATGGGAATCAAGGCAGGAGGAGCTAACATGTGTCCTATCTGAGCCAGCAGATTGTGTCCTGCTTTGCCATACCATCTTGACTTCTTTTGGAGTCCAGCAAATTGGAAAGTAAGGGTGCAGCTGAGGGTGGAAAAGCAGAGTACTATAACTCTGGAATCCTCACTATCTTACAGGGACAAAGGGCTATCTATGGCCATTCACCCCCACCCCCACCACACACAGTGCACAGCTCACTGGTGTAGGATAAAAAGATCACAACAGGGTTCTACTTTGAGCACCATCTATGACGGTGGGCGAGTCACTTTCCTTCCATCTTTGTTTGCCCTGTGAAATGAAGGAAATTCATGCCTAGGTGTCCTTTCTGCTCTGGGCTTTCATGTCGTTGAGCTCTGTACAGGAGTTTTTCCATCCATGCAAATACCAGACTGAGTTCGCACAGAAACAGACTTCAGCAGTAAAGATCCAGAGAGTTCATAACTGTGAGAATTCGACCATGTAGAATAGTGGCCATTCTTGTGTTCTTTGGCAGAAAAATGATATAAATTAGCTTTGGTCAGTGGTTGCTAGATGCCAGAAGCCTGGCACAATTCTAAGTGTGTGGCAAATAAATAAATTATGAAAGCTTAAGTGCTGGTTCATCTCATTATATCTTTCAAGGCTCAGAAGAAAACAAAATGAATTCACATGGGTGGGTTATAATTGATTTTCAGTGTTTTTTGTTTTGTTTTGTTTTGAAATCCTGCTTTTTTTTTTTTAACCTGTTGATCGATGCCTTTGTCTTTTCCTACTTCACAGGCCTGTATAATTCAGTGGATAGCTGGATGATTGTGCCCAACATTAAACAGAACCATTACACAGTGCATGGACTCCAGAGTGGGACACGCTACATCTTTATTGTGAAAGCCATAAATCAAGCGGGCAGCCGGAACAGCGAACCCACCAGACTAAAAACAAACAGTACGTTGTGAGCTTCTAGGAGGAAAGACCCATTTTCCTCTCTGTGCCAGGGAGGACAGTTAGCCTGAGAGACTCCCATAGTAATGTGTGAGAGCAGTGGTACCGAGTGGAGGCGCTTTACTGCTGTGCTTTTTTTTTTTTTTTTTTTTTTTTTTTTTGGTTTTTT